TTGTTCCATTATTGGCCCATCTATTACTCTAATAAAGTCGTAAGAATTCTTTATTAAAAAGTCCCCAAGATCTGGGATTTGTTTCAATTGATCACAAAGACATCGTGATGTTTTATGCAACACACCACTTATTGTTCACAATGATCCTAAGCGGGACACCCTCTGTCGATTTTGGGCATAACACATGAATCAGGAGGCCTAGCATAACGTTGAAAAAGTCCACTCATTTTAAACATATAATTCTGCACTATTAACGCATTGTCGCAGGCAACTCTGTGGGGGGCTTAGTTATAATTATATAAGTATCAACATGAGAAAAGCCCTTATCATCTTTTCTATATAATTCGTTTTATGCATAGCTACAACTACTCCTTCTTTATCTGCCCTCAAAACTACGTGCTTGTGTTGCCTAAGCTTATTGGTGAGAGTATCAACCTATCTATTCTTAGAAGTTGTTTGACCTTGTTTTCGCAACTTGGTCATATTGGTAGGAAGAATTAGAAGAAAACATTTAGTCTGGAGTACATTGTATGCATGATAATTTCCAAAGTCGGACTGTGGATATGGTAAATTTCCAGACGTTTCGCCTTCATCGTAGTGGTCTTCCTACCAATATGACCAAGTTGCGAAAACAGGGTCAAACAACTTCTATACAACGAAAGTAGAATGCGACCACGCAAAAGACCACAACATATTGATCTTCACATCTACCTATTCTCATTTTGATGCTTTTCATTGTTATCAATTAAAGGAACAACCTGTATTTCAATATCACTTATTGTTTCTTCCGCTAATCGGTCAGGCAACTTTATAGCCTCTAGTAAAATCGCTTTAGTGAAACTCTTACTATTTGGCGAAGCATAAGTAAAACCTCCAGATAGAACTTCCTCAGTAGTAGTATCAAGTAATATTTAGGACAGATTAACCACTTTCCGACTTATCCTCATCTTCTCTTCTGTGGATGAATTCCGACTGTTATTCAAAAATTCTTATTCGTAGGTTCATAAGTTTCTTATCGTGACTCCCTTGCAAATTCGGTCAGTCTTCTATTAAAGAAGATTGCGCTCAGCTAGCGTCTACGTCCAACGCAAGGCCTTAAAACGACAGTTTAATTATATCCGCAACCATTGGAAGACCGTTGATCCGCAGAAGCAGCACAACCTTGCCGCAGTGCAGACATCAAATCAACACCGACTATTAGCTTTGAGCCTTCGAAGCGACCTATCTTTTACGCCTCCATGCTTGTTAGCCCAAAATCCAGCAATAAATTTTGGTTATCTCGCTAATGCCATATTTTCGCCATACGACTTCTTCATGATCACATTTTTTCTTCGTTTCGAGCCTACCTTGACAGGGTTCGCCTTTTGGAGGGGAGTATTGTAGTGACCTATTCAATGTTTAGTTTTTTTAAAATCCCATACGTAGCCATGGCTCAGCATTCTTTGGCGCAGAGAAAGGTCTATGACTTGCTCTTGCGTGCCAACCCCTAAATATGATTTAACTTTATTTGAATAGACTTGTCTTGGTTTCCGGTCGTTCCTCTTGAATCTCGTTGCAATTTCTTTTAAAAAATTAAAAATATTACCTTTGTTCAGTCGTTTTCTTTTTGCTGATATTGTTGTTCCCTGGTCTTCTCCAAGTTTTCTTAGGCAGTATGCAAGTCTTCGCCAATCCTGCTTCATTCAAGTCTCCTGTTCATTAGATTCCTTTCAGTCGAGATATCGATGGCCTCTCTTAACTTGCGTTTACTTGTGTTACCACCATATGCAACCAGCCTTTCTGTCGATGTCGTGACCCGTCCGTGCGATGCGTTCCGCTATTTCGGATCTTACAGTGTCCATGTTTCCGCAGTCTTTGGCGTTCCTTGACTGGTAGGATGAATTTTCTTCCTGCTTCACCAATATACTTCTGCTCACAGTTATGACATTTGATGCTATAGACTCCCAAGCAATCAAGCTATTCAATCTTTTTGTGTTGCGTTGGCAGTGTTGACTTTTTACAATATTTCATTTTCTTAACAACGGTTGCAGTTTTTGGCCCAGTTCATTGACGACTAATTTGCACTTTGGTCGCACGACCAAAATTACTCAATTTTTAAACCAACGTGATCAAAGAATTAAATTCGCAATGGAGGTGGAGGAGGATAAACTACTCCCCTTTCTGAATGTTGAGGTCATTCGCTCCAGCCGAATACTCTGAGACTATTCAGAAAAGATTCACATGGGGGAATGATCCCAATTTAAGGTTTCATCACAACTACAGACTGAAGATCGGGATAATGAAAACTATGACCATTAGAAGCTTAGGACTAACGGACACTGACTTAGATAGACTGACTCGGATTTGCCTTGGTTACGGGTACTTTAAAGAATTTATAGAAAGAAATATAGGGGTCATAAAGAGAAGATTTCAACTAGGATTTTACGAAAAGGTCAGAAATCGGAAGGACATATCTGCCGACGCAACACTAAAAGGTTGACTAGCTTGATTTCTCAGGAGTCCATTACATCAAATGCCACAACTGTGGTTAGAAGTATATTGGTGAATCAGGTTTTAAAATCAGCGTACAAATCAAGGTAGACCAAAGGCTCTGTAGAAACATGGACACTTAAAGATCCGAAATAGCGGAACACATCGCACGGACAGGACACGAAATCGACAGAAAGGCTGGCTGCATATGGTGGAAACGCAAGATACAATAAGCCATCAATATCCTGACTGAAAGGAATCAAATGAACAGGAGCCAATAGGTCACATCTTTGTGTCGTAATAGGACGAGGGCGAGACTAGAGTAGGAAATGGATAGAGGGACCAGGACAAAACGAGGAATGTTAGCATAACCGTTCCGACACAAGGTTGGTCAAGGGATTGACTTCACTTGTCTCTTTGACGAGTTGTAGCTTGGTTGCTGAGACTGGCAAGTCCCTGATGATGCCGACTACTATGCCGGCGAAACGTCTGGGAATGTGCCAAGTCCACGGTCTGACTCTGGAGATGATCATGCTTACTATGGACTCCGGACAAGATGCCTTGAGTAAAACTCTACTTTGATAGGACCCGAGTGAAACTAACTAACCAGTAAGATATGAAACGATTCTCTGAAGACACAGGAGAGATTCGGATGAGGTCAAAGATTAATCAACAATTCCGGCGGATCAAGAAAGGAGGCAAGGTAAATAAGCAGGTGTAATAATGCTTCAGTAAACTCGCCAAAAAAAATTAGACTAGTTTAAAGTTGTAAGAGAGGGAGTGGGATGCGATCATAGGGGTTAACTAGATATACCATGAAAGAAAAAAAAGCGGTAACACAACCGTTGGTCAAAAATTTGATTAAGGGATTGTCTTCACTTCTCTTTTATTAGTTGCAATTTGGAATTAAGAATGGCAAGACCCACTGATGATTCCAGCAGTAGTTCTTGGAATGTAACAAGTTGGTTCTGTGCTATAGTAGAGGACTTGGGACAAGGTGCGTCCAACTATGCTGAATTGACAAAACCAAGCCGCGAAAGTGAGATTAAATCACTAGAATTATGGATCCGGAATGCCTTAAAGCTAGACTTAACGGTCTCTTACAACAATATGTAGAGTGGAGAACTGAAAAAATGGGAAATGAATGTCCTTTTTCAGCGACATACTAAATTCCCAAATGCCTATTGTCTGCCCAAAATTGAGAAGGAAGGTGTCACATCTAGGACCATTGTAAAACATAGAGATGGAATTAGGCATAAAATACGTTTTACTTGTACTAAGCTAAAGCAAATCTGCGAAATTGGGAAGTTTCCAATGAGGAATTCTTACGATTTTATAAAGTTAGTAGACGATCAGCCGATAAGAGATATGCTAATGACTTTCAATGTAGTACACTAATATGCTGATTAAAGGCGTAACGCACTTTTTAGAATTAGCCTTAGACCAACAAATTTAAGCAAAGAGTAAGACTAATTAATGTAGCCCCGAATAGTATATATTTTAACTTCAGTGGTGAGTTATATGAGCAAGAACGGGCTTAGCTATGAAATATTGTTCAACCGCCAGTTTAGCAATTAGAAACTCGATTGTTTCAAAAGGGACTTATAGTTTCAAGATTATTAGTTAGAAATATGGACAGCTACTTTGCTTTTTGGCAATACGACAAGGATAGGTAATATTTCTCTAAAAAGGCATTGGCAATGATAAAAAAATAAAAGATCAATAGACCGTAGTATTTTGAATTACTCAGGCGTCATTTTAGTTTCTTATTTTCTCGTATATATATGTATACATGACTACTATGTTTATTAAGCTTTCGTCTCAAAATCCCAGGCGAGATTACCTGTTAAGTAAATCGAAACCATGATCCGATATCTGCTTCTCGGTGAATCGCCGACGCAATTGATTGTAGGGGTACTCGGTGAATACACAGCGCTTCATACCTGGTAACTCTTTGACACCAGGCCATATGCGTTCATTAGGAGTGCCAAGGTCACGGAAGATCATGTTAAGTTGATCTACCTCACCCTTACCAGGAAAGAGTGGACGTTGTAAGAGGAACTCAGCAAAAATGCAGCCAACTGACCAGAGATCAATTGGGCATGTATATTTTTTTGCACCTATGGCATAAGGAGAAAATTGGAAGTTATAAAAATATACCAATAAGAATGAAGGCACTGGAAAATCTGTCAAAAAGATGTATTCCAAGTTTTAAACACACTTTGAGATTGTGCGCTTT